ATCTGTGGCGCGAACTCGCGTCTCCGATGGCAACGCACGTGTCTCCCGCGTGACGTCACTCCGCTCTCGTCGAGCGCTTACCGCTGCATTCACCTCCGCCTTTAAAGTTTCCAGCAGTCCGACCCGCGCCGATGATGCGCTTCTCGCATCAACGACAGTCGGTATTTCACCTGACAGAAAATCGTCGGCGCACACAGGCGGTGCCGGTTCATGACGTACGCTATATAAAAATGCGCGAAATGCCCTGTCTTGCACGACCGCGGTCGTGCCGTCCGTAACTAATCCGTTCAACGTCATCCATGTCAGCAATTCCTGAATTTGCATTGCCTGAATGTGCTCCCATATTGACTTTACTACGGGAATTCTCATAACCCGCCTTCTAAACGCTTCTGGCCACGGCCGCGATTCCGCAGCTATCCGATGCTTGGGCGATCTCGTCACCGGCATCGTGTTTCACGCGACCCCGCGCAGTAAACAAACAGGCACCAAAACAGACCAAGCTTTCCTCGGCTTATTTCGCCTTGACTAGGCCTAAGCGCGTTTGTCCTCTTTGTTTTCGAGAACAGCTCAACGTGCACAAGCCGGCATGCCCCTGGTGCGAGTACGCAACACAAAGACTTTACTCAGCCTATAAACACGTCTAACCTTGAGCTCACGCTCAGCAACAATCCAAACAGCCGAGAATGATCGTTGCGATTCTCGCAACTTTCAAATTCAGAAACACACATTCAAACGTACAAATTTAACTAGCCAAAACACTCGGCTCGAGCAATCGCAATCTGCGCAATAACAGCACACAAATTTACAGCGTAATCGCTTAATCACAACAACGCGCTACTCGCCTCAGCCCGTTTCACTAGCTCCGGGCTTCCGCGTAACTCGAGCCAAATGCGTTGACGACACAATAATGACGAAAACTCAAAATGTCCCATGCAACTAAAATTTTCCCTTTTCCAGCTTATTTCCACGGCTCTCGCTCGCTAATCCGCGAATTCGCCGAAAAGCGTTCAAAACTTATCACAAAGGGAATTATCGCAATCACCTCTTTCCAACCAGAACAAAGCGATACGAACAACGAAAACCTGCCGAGGTTAAACAAGGGATGCCATGCAAGAGTGGTCAGCCTGCGTGCGCCATGGGCTGGTCTCTGCTAATTTTTCTGAGTTCTTTCTCGGTAAAGAAAGCCGGCGCTGACTTTCACAGGCCGAAGTTCGCGCTGGCTGGGAAAAGTTGATACAAAGAAACGGACACTCTAATTCAATGATATTACATATGGCGATCTCATTTATTGACGCCTTTTCACAAATATCGCTACAAGATTAACTTCGCCGCGGCGAGCGCGCTCGCTCAGCCTTTCCGCGACAAGAGTTCGCGGGATCACGCGAGCGAGATCGCTCAGCGTGCGCGATAAAACCAAAATAAGCTAATGTCCGTAATCGAGCGAGAGCTGGTGCGAGAGAGATAAACAGGCTTTCGACCCACCGGATGCCGACGGTCCGTCGGCAGAGAGACGACGCCGGCGAAAGCGCAGGCCCGCTGGAAACGGCGCCCTGGCGATGACTGGGACTGCTGCAGGAGAGGCCGCAGTACAGCCTTTGCCCCGGGGACGGCGAATGGTCGCTGCGTGTCCGGGCTCGGCTTGGACCTTCTGGCTCTCCTGGCAAATGGCAGTCGCACTCCTGGCAGTCGTTCCTCTCTGGCCGAAAATGTCCTCTCGTCCAGTCTCTCCTTAGGCGGCCCTAATTACTCGAGAGCTCGCGCCTAACTGCCCTTCTTCTCTCTTAATTTTCTAAGCCTCGCGCCGCCGCGCTCCCACTTCTCTCGCCGTCAGAATCAGTCAAAATCGCTCTCTCTCTCTCTCGCTCTTCTCGCTCTCACTCGCACTCACGGCGACACCTCGCCGATCGTTGCGCTCCTCTCTCCAGATCCTGCAACGACACAAGTATGTAGTCGCTATATAGCGTACACTTGGTCGCTGCGTTCACGCGAGGAGAGTGCCGCACACAGGGCCAGCGAGCATCGCTATTGCCCTGTCACACGTCAAATCGAAATACCAATCCCGTCATCACGGAGAATCAACCAACCAACGATGCCCCAAAAATCGTGACAAAAAAGCTCACTAATTCAAAATCATACCATTATTGCTGCCGCTCAAGCGATTTCAAATACCGGAGCCTGAGCTCCCGAAGCTCTTCTGCCGTGGGTGAAGAGGCGTTTACTCCGGAGAGCCTATGGCCGCCAACTTTAGTCGTCTCGGGCTCAGTTACTCTGGCGTCACGATTTACCGACAGATTCGCGGATATCGGCACCTGCTCCGTCCATTGCGCGACCTCTGCCCGCGCCGTGCTGGTCGCACTGGCTTCAGTCCGGTTTTCCCCCGCGGCAAGCATTTTACACACGAGCTTCTCCCGGTATCTCTTACCGCACTGATGTCAAGGTTTCTTTGCTTTTGGCTCTTGGACGGAGGACTCGGGACTGGCCACTTCCGGCCTTGTCCTTGGCTTCGGCTCGAAGGTTTCCAATTGTGAAGCCTGGAGTCCTACCAAATCACTGGGGCGCTTCCGAGTCTTTTCCTCCTCTAGTAACCTCTTGCGTGCCTGGTCAGTCTTAAAGGTATCATGGCAGCGCGGACACTCGTAGACGAGGACGTCGAGTCGTCCACAATTCCGACATACCGAACCCAAAAGAGGTCGACCTTGGTTGCAATCCCGTTCTGCAATTCAGCCAGATCCTACAGGAAGCTATCACGAATTAGTTGTAGCCCAGTCCTATCCACCCAACATGGGGACGCGGAGAGCGAGGCTAAGCTGGTCGCCGGGAAAGATGGAAGATGTTGTACCGGCCTAAGGACAGGTCGTTCCGGCGCCACCGGCTCCACTCTCGTCTTTCCGGCGGCGAAGTCCGTATCTATTCCCGAGACCCCTCCTCCATCAGCTGCTTAAGCAACCGGTGGCTGGATAATACTCGTTGCCTTAATAGCAGCTCCCTCCACCGCCTGGGATACCGTCGTCATTTGACTGGAGGATGGTCTCTCGAAATTACATGCGGAAAGGTTGAAACGCATCGAGCGCTTCCTCCTTCCCGCATTTTATCGGACCTCAGCCTCCCTCTTTCGCTCATCCTCCAGATACCCGGCTGGAGGAATTTGCGCGGGCCCACGCCTGCTATCGAACTGATACGCGGGGCCCGACCTTTGATGGGCGAGGGGTTTATAGGGGAGAGGAGCGTGGACGTGCGGCTGCGGAGCTACTCGAGGCAGCTCCCTCTCCCAATGGAGGCCCTAGTGCTACGTCTCCGATTCACCGCCCTACCTGCGAGGTAGCCAGCCGCGGCAGCCCAGCAGCCCGGCGATTTCTCGCCTTCGCTGCTCGGTTCAACCTGCGGAAAGACAATTCCCCCTTTCGCGGCGATAATCCTGGACTTCTCTGACGCTTTGTGGATGCAAAGCATCGTGAGTCTAAACGCTGCGCTTCAACGTACTGCCTTATTCCACCTACGCTTTGGCACAGCTAGGCGGATGATCGATCCCACCCTCCGATTATCGGTCAACAACCGTACCCATCGTCGGTCGCTCATGAACGGTGTCGGAGGTGAGGGCAAAGTCGGGGGAAAAAGAATCTCCTTCGCATTCCTGTCCTCGCCTCCACCAATCGAAGTCTTAGCCAGCTGCGAGATGCATGAGGCAACCTTGATGTCGTAAAAGGCCGCCTGCCCTAAGGAGACCTCGACACCTGGTTAACCTCTATAACCTCCACAGCTTCCGGCGGATCTACCAGTGCGGACGTGACGCCCGAAGATACTTGGGCCTCGGCGACTTGAGTGATGTTGCCCGATTCTCCCGTTTCAGTCATAAACACTTTGCGTCGTTTCACTCGCTGAATCTTGAAAAGGAAAGAAAGAAACATACAAAAATTATCATACCCGACTCATCCCACAGACCTATTCAATTTACTTTACGCGGAGGCACATATCGCTTGACTTCCGAAACATATACGCTATTCGTACGATGCTTACTATTTGTCACTAACTCGTAGATCTTGAGCAAAATTACCGTGACTATCTTAAATGGTCCGTCATATTTCGGGTCTAACTTCTCATTTTTACCATTCGCAGCGCTCGAAAGCGTATGCACTTTGCGTCAAACCAAATCGCCTAATTGGAAAAATGCTTGACGTTTACCCTTATCGTAGTGTTTCTTTTCTTTAGCCTTTCCTGAGCTTCATCGATATGTCTAGCTACGGAGTCGCGTAACGCATTCAAACGCATTAGCCTATCTTCCCACGCCTTCGTATCTATCTTAGCAATAGGTGCTTTTACCTTAATCTAGTGCCTTAAACTCTTTACCGGGGGTGGATTCATACGAATGTTTAGAAATACCGGTGATACCTTTGTAAACGTCTGAGTCACCGTATTCACAGCATGATGAAATTCATGCAAATACCTATCCCAGCTCCTGTGATCGGTATCTACAAACCTCGATATCATTGTTTTTAGTATTCGATTTACACGCTCAAGCGGATCGCTTTGCTAATGATACGCTGGACAAAATACGTGCTCGATACGTTATTCTTGCAACCTGTCCTGAAACACTTTGCTCCTATACGCCTTCGCATTATTTCTAAAGGTATATTCAGAAGTTTCCCACCTAAACAGAATTAACTCCTCGAGCGCGGCAGCGAGAGTAGGACTGTTTGCCGACCGTAGCGGTTTTAGTTCGACCCACTTGGTAATTAAGTCTTGAAAAACCCTCAGGTATTTAAACCTATTTCTGCTACGGGACAGCCACGTCAGTATAATAATTTAAGTCTTACCGGGTAACTTTACATAATAGCTTGAATAATACTAAATCGTGTTATACTAGATATGTTCATTTCTTAATATTTTTGTTATATATAAGTTTATTTAATGTGCTTACAATTTTTAAATGAATCTTATTTGTTAATTTAATGTTAGAAGATTAATAAGTATATGACTTTTTATTTATTATTTATATTCTTTAGGATTTATTGGTCCAGAAGACATTCAAAGCCTTGAAGCTTCAGTAAAAATAACCGCACCTCTACAAATTCCGTATATTACAAAATTTTCTACATCACTTCCACATGTACATTACCTCACTCCACAGGAAGATCTTCCACTTCTTCAGGTATATGATTCATATATGATATTATATTTTATCGTTCTGTTAAAATATAGCAAAAAAATTTGTGTTCATAAATGAATAAAATTACCCAATACATTCATTTTACCAATAAATAAATAAACCAAATGAATAATTCTTTTACTAAATAAATAACTGATTAAAATTAATAGTGATATTACTCTCGAAAATTATAAGATTCAGTTTTTGGCATTATGACGTCGTAAATAATTATTGATTTTACCTTATTATTCATTTTTATTTTTACTTATTATTTATTACTTATTATTATTTTTTTTATCAGTTTATAAACGTCTGTTATGATCATGCTGATAACTTTATTAGAGCAATTTTTTCACTGCAGTAAAGAAAATTTATAATTTTCTCTGCTTAACACTAATTAATCCCCTTAAAAAAGATTACTAGTATTTCTATGCCTTTGAAGATTGTAAAAATATATGTATGTTAACAAATTACTTACGACAGAAGAAATGAATGCGACAGTCAAAGTGATAGTAAATAAGATGAATATTGTCCAGACATTATTAAGGATAAGAAAATACTAACCGATTGAGCTGACTATCTAGCCGTAGTACTACTAAATAAAAACTTGTGTCCGAGCTTTTTTAGTAAGCTACTAGCCTTCCTAATCAAAATAAGTTATACATATTATAAAGATTTCTTATTATGTTTCTTTCTAACCCGTTTTGTCATGATATATTTATATAAATATACTTGATTTTACTTTATAACTTAAGCTTCTTCCAACAGCTAGCGTCTAACGTAAGTGGTAGAGTAAGCTAGAAAAAACTAGACAGTAACAGAAGACGACGGAACTGGCCTAGGCCCAAGTGCGTTGAGATTTGCTCATTATTGTTTCCCGGTAGATGGGATGCTATCTCTCTCTCTCTCTCTCTCTCTCTTTCTGTTTATCTCTTTGTCCCTCTTTCTCTTCGTTTTTTATCCCACTTATGTTTGTTCTCTATCTGTCTCTTTCTCTATTTCGCAGCCGCTAATGTATCCCTTATCTCATACTTTATTCATGAAACCAATATGATTATGTAACTGCGCGTTCTTTGCTTTGAAATACCTCGCCCTTCCTCGCATCCATACTAATGCGTATACTTCATTGTTCTGCATTATAATTTTAGTATTGTACCGCTCGATGTTCTACATCGGTCATGGGGCTTAGTGATCATTGTAAAATGTTAGGCAATTCTGCATTTTTTTCTAATGAAAAACCTTCAAAACTTTATTATAAGAGTATTTGCTTGTTAAACAGCTAAGACCCCTTTACGATATACTATGTATTAGTGATAATTGAATTAGTAGCGCTTAGTATTTTGGATTATTGTTTGCATGTTTGTTAATGATGTAGAATAATCACTGGTAATGTAAGTTAAATTTTCCGTAAGTTACACGTCTTTCTATGGCACATTCCAGAAATGACGATTAGCTTATCAGGGGTAAGTTTCGGATTTTCTTGAAACTTGGTCTAAATGTTTCCTATATGGTAGTTTACTTAAGTATGGATTATTTGATCGTTATGGTAGTGTAGTTTGGTTCTTCTTCCTTCTTTATCTTCCTCGCCCTTGAGAGTGGTACGAAGGCCAAGCCATATTCTAGCGGGGTGCGCTGTTAAATCCTAGTTCGTTGGAATAGTCAAATTTGGGTTCCAAACCTCTCTCGAACTTCCAATGCTGGAAGAAGTTTTGACAGTTTGCTGTTCTTCCTATCGAGGTTAGGTTGCAGATTGTGCAGAAACGTATCGCAATTTTGGCCGGGATTGGACCTTCGTATTTGCCACACAGCTGCTCATCGAATCTGTGCAGCATGGCGAAATACTGAGGGATCAAATTTCCGTTGGCTGCACAGAAGGTCTCTTCCTTGTTCTGAGCCATTCGGACAGCCTCGATGCGCTGTGTCATGGTCCATGGCCCTTGATCTTGGGTGTCGCTGCGTAGCGCCTTTGCATCCAAGTCAGTCTGGCTGGCCCCATGTGAGGCCGAGCCGACCGAGGGACGCTCTCATTAACGGCAGAGCCAATGTTAGGACGAGCTCTGGTTGAGGCCATGCCGAAAGGACCGGGGCCGCTCAGTAAAGTGGAGGCTTAGAGGTTGAGTTCTTCAATCCTCCGCTGAAGAGCAAGGAGCTTCTGGCGTTTGGCCTATTGCTCGATCATTAGATGGGCGCTCTCTTCCCGGGCTGCCCTTGCTTCATCCGAGCGAGCAGCAGCTTCGGACAAGAAGGCCTTCTTTTCCACCTCCCTCTCCATCTTAATAATAAAATCCTGAATCTAGGCCCTGACACGAGCATCCGAGTGTTTTGCAAAGCTCAGAACATTCCAGCACGCTACTTCCTCAACGCATTAAGCTGCAAGCTTTGCTGATCGAGCGCAGCGTGCAGCTTGTTCCAGCGCGGTCCACCTCTCGGTCCAAGGAGTCGCCTCTTCGGTTTATGCCTCATGAGATGGTTTGGTGCATCTCCTGCAGTAAGCATGAGTCACGGGGAGTAACGTGCTTGGACTTCTCTTTGCTTTCTTGGCCTTGCCTCTGTCTAGAGTTTCAGCAGCTGACAAACTCTGCAATGATGGATGCTGTTAGGGCTGGGAAAAGCCCACTCAGATCATCCATAGCCTGTAACTCGCAATACTGCGTCCCTGGGTCCTTCCACGGTCAGGGTGACCGTTCCTTGCTCCTTTGTAGATTGAACACGCGGTAACGATGCAGAATTAAAGCAGCGGCAATGGCGAAGTAAAAGCATAAGCAGTAGAGCGATAAAAGTATAAAGCAGTGGCCGTAGTAGCCGAAACAAAATTAAAGCAGGGAGCCTAGATGCAGGCCGCCGAGAAAGGACGGAAAATTAAATTAGGCGTTTCACTTGTTCTTGGGATGTAAACGTCCAGACGAAGAGGCAGCGGTGGCAGAGCTATTTTTTTTGAACCTAGGGGCCGTCCTCGCTTGCGCGGAACCGCTACTATAGGCGTTGACTAAGCATTGCTAGTATTTAGCTGTGTTGCCGGGCTGGCTATGGGAATATGTCGGATGCCGGGCATGGATTCGTCAGCTGTTGATTGCTTAGCAGGAAGATCGATTTCTTTGTTTGAGAGTTTTTTTATCTCACTCACTAAGACGTTTTCATCGTCCCGCGGATTCTCTTCCGGAAATTGCTCATCGACATAGCAAGGTTTTAGTTCGGCAATGGTGACCTTCCCGTTATCAACACACTTTTCGGTTTCGAATTGATACGAGTTCATGCTGAGGCAAGCCGTTATACCGAAAGACCCTGCTTATTTTGGGCAGAGCTTGACGGCAATGACCTTGGCGGCAGATGCAAGCACACGATTTTTCGCCCATACTCTATCACTGACTTAATGTGGCGATGTTTATGGTTGTATTTTTCTAGCCTGGCTTGAACAGTTTTAAAATTTTCGAGCGCCTTGGCTTAAAAATCGTCAAGTTTACTCATACGAGAATACCAATCGGTACGAGCAGCAGCCTCGAGCTGTTCTACTGCTGCGCGCTCTTCTTTTCGTCAAATGTTGTGAGGCAGCTATGGATGTCGGCCATAGTTCAGAATTGGCTGGACTAACGCGAATAGCCTCGTGAATGGCCGTATTTATAGACGAACGCATGTTCGTCTATAAGCTCATCCCATCGAGTGTGTTTCTCGACGAACGCCACAATCGTAGTTTTGATCGTGCGATTAACAAGCTCGGTTGGTTTTGACTTTGGAGAATACGGAGCATAGGTAACATGGATGACTCCATGATCTTCCAAGAATTTATCGACCATCGTGTTTTTGAAAGGCGTGCCATTGTCTAACAAAAAGCGGTGCGTAATGCTGAATCGTAGGAATTCGATTCAATACGATGGTTTATTTCCTTCTTGATTGTCTTAGCATTGGTCTTTCGTACCGGAATGCATTCGATCCATCTGGTAAACATATCTCTGAAAATTAATAGATATTCGTGGCCTTGAGGTGCACGTGGAAATGGACCCATCAAATCGCCGCAAACAATCTCCCATGGACGAGTAAAGATATGTTTACCCATAAGTCTAGCAGGTGGCTTTTGTTCAACCTTTATCTGTTGACACACTTGACAGATGCGTACATAATGGGCAACGTCTTTATAAAGGCCGGGCCAATAATAGCAAAGGACGGCTTTCTGGTGAGACTTATAACGGCCGAGATGTCCGGCCGTAGGCTCATCATGACATCGCGCGAGAATATGTTCGCGCTGTCCTCGAGGTACCACTAGCTTCCACGCATCCTCGTCGTGATTCATTAACTCGTCAACAATTGGATTTGGCCGATAAACAAATAAGCGATCGCCGAAAACTTTCCAATATGGGTGACCCCGCGAATCTTCGGCTACTTGCTTAAACTTGCGCAAGTACTATTTGTCTCTAATAGACTCGTCGATTGTGAGGGACGTGAGGGAAACAGAGACGTCCTCGTCAGTCTCGTACATGCGAGATAAGACTCAGGCACGACATTGTCTTTGCCCTTTCGGTGCACTATGTTAAAGTCGTAGGCCTGAAGGCGTAATGACTATCAGCCTAGCTTGCCATTTGGGCTCTTTAGATTTTGGAGACAGATTAAGCTATGGTGATATGTTACGACGGTAAAGGGATAGCGTTCGATATATGGTCGAAATTTTTCGATTGCCCAAATAACGGCATGGCATTCACGCTCAGTTACTGATAGCTTTCGCTCAGTGGCTGACAGGACACGACTAGCAAAACAAAGAGGGCGGTCTTCTTCATCAATTTTCTGGGTAAGAACGCTGTGAAGGACGGTATCGCTGGCATCGCACTCGACGATGAACGACACCTTGAAATTAGGCCTGGCTAAAACAGGCGCCGTCGCAAGTAGGGCTTTTACTTGCTCAAAGGCGGTCGAATGATCGCTGGTTCAGACATACTTCGTCTTTACTTGTGAGTGTAGTAAGGGGCTCAGTCAAAGTCGCAAAATCCCTACCACGAGGCTATGCCGAGGAAACG